GTTGCAATGATTCCATCTTTAATGCCTCCAGGCTCACACCTTGTTTCCCCATCCGTGTAAAAGTAGAAACATACTTTATAAAGATATAAAGTCGAAAATGTATAATAGTACATGGTCAAAAGTAAGTATGTAGAATGTGATAGCGTCAAAATAGATATGTAATAACGTAGAGGTCGAAAACTTGTATTGAACTTAAAATTGAAAACGGAAATACTTCCCCCAAAACATTTATAACGTCAGAATACACATATAACTATAATAAGATAAGTTAAAATATTTGTACTGAAAATCCCAAACGAAAGAAAGTGGGTCTCACCCACACATTCGTAATGTCACGTAGTACGAGAAAACGTGTCTTTGGGTCGAGTCCTAACAATAACAGAGTAGTAACAACTACTGTAAACAGGTCTACCTACCCACTTGCTTAACAAATCCAAAAATAAGCCACCGATATCACAATCGGCCGCCCACGATATCGACCACACATTGTCGTTTGAATAAGCAAGCAGTAATTTTCCAAAGGTGCACCATTACCATTTTGCCCCGCAACGTGAGAGTGTGCAAAGATCGTCTAATTCTCGCCTCGACCGCGATGTCGTACCTTTCTAGAGCGCACCAATCAAATATGCTAGAAGTGTTTCGACATTCACGTACTCACGAACAATAAGGTCCTGGAGTGAAGTAGTGGAAATATGTGTTGAGCTGAATATATATATTATTGGAAAAGAACTACTAGAGTACGATATGATGTTTTTGAATTGTAGCAAAATAATAAGAGGCGACTATTCATTTTTAGGTGAAGATAGTGATTGGTGATGCGATCCGCTGACCACCCGTACTACTACCTTCACTAATCCCTTACTAAAAGACGGCGCAAACTTCATACCCACGTGGAACTCTTTCTGGTAAGTTTAGTAAGCTTGTGAAAAGGTTATGCTCCTAACGTTCCTGTCCAAAACGATATGAACTGGCCGCTCACTTCTGCCGAATTGATCAATTATGAATTCTTCACTGATTGAGCGAGAAACCATGTCAAGATGGCTAAAAGAACACTCAAGAATTTGAGGGTCAAAACAAGTCCAAAGATATTTCGTATTTCACAACTCCTTGTGAGGATTTTCAATTTCCAACGGTCACAACCCCTTTTTGAAATTGATGAGAATAGCGTCTACTACCAAAGAGTCTACTAAGAAAAATATAAATCTAAACGAAGTCAATGCTCGAAAGATTTGGTGTAAAGCCAACAGTTGATGGTTAAGGAACTTGAATTCGTCGTTGGAGTAAGCAAGAATGAATCGTTCTAAAGATCCACACGAATTTCTTCATGGGAATGAGTCTGAGAACATTCATTTGAACCCACCAAACTACCACTTACTAAGGTTGTAGTATGAAGGTTGTATAACATTGCCGAAAGACAACAAATCTGGAAGTTGTGACAGCCAAATGAAGTCATGACCGACACACCACTACAGTAACGAAATATCGTAAGTATGCTCTGAACAAACCACGCTCTGATACCAAATTGACAAGTCCAACCCTAATATTCTCCCTAACACCAAGGTAGGTACGTGCTGGCTGACACCTGAAGGTGACGAAGCCATATTATAATGCATGAGAACAAGAAATATAAATAAAAGTTATGAATTTAAATATAATGCATATGCAATTGAGGAACGTGTTCAGAGCATACAACTAACTAGAATACTAAAAAGAAATAATATAAAATTGAATGAATAAAAGAATGGGTCATACACCGAGAGGACTTGAAGATGCCGATGCGAGAGTGCCTTAAAGCCGGGATTGTATGCCTCGATTCTAAATCCTGAGGGGGTGCAAAACAAACATGAGTGGACCAAGATATATATATATATATATATATATATAATACGAAAACAGTTATTCAATAACATACTAACCCCCAAAGTTTTATGGAAATTCAATAGTATAATATGTAATAGGCTTTTCCGAAAACCTTAACATGCCATAAACATATCTCGTATATAGTATGATAAATAGTGGTATCCAATAATAATATCTCTCAGCTCCATGTCTCTCGGCCCGAAGCCAGAGATTATTTCTCCCAGCCCGTAGCCAACAACCATATACCTCGCCCGTGGCGGTACAGTGACCACTAGATAAGCACAAAACCATTTAACATAGACTTTCCAAACATAGGTGTGTATATATATATATATATATATATATATATATATATATATATCTCAAAAACATCTTCATAGTATAAAGTCATCCATCATCTATACTATAAAGAAGTGTGCAAAAGCATGTTCATAAGCAGTATAAAGTTATCCATCATTTATACTACAAAGAACATGAGTTCGATAAAATATGGTAATTCAAAATATTCTTAGTAAGCATAATATCTCATAAAACGTAATCATTAAATCATGTTTTTCATGTATGCATTTCTACTATTAAAACATGCATTTTAAAAGGGGTCCACTCACAGATACTTCGCCGCAAAAGAGCCACGCAAACTAGCGAAGACGGAAACGCCACAATAAATGTACCTAAGCTCATAAAGGGTCCAATTAATAAAACTCTATTCAAACGATTGAATTTGGGAAAACAGACATCAAAACCGAATTCAGGATGTCGAATTAACCTAAGAAGGGTTTCGGGTAAATTTCGTAAAAATCAACACAAGAATATTCCAGGAATATTCCCTAACAAAATATTCCTTGACAGAATATTCCCCATAAAGGGTTTGGGCCAGTTAGGGTTTAGGGTTTTGGACTTAGGTTAGGGTTAGGTTAGTGGGTTAGGGCCTAGGCTAAAACGGTTTTGGGCAAGGTTGAATGGGCTAGCTCCTTTGGGTTTGCACACACGTGTCTGGGCTAAATGGGGTTTAGGTTTAAGTTAAACTGGCTGAGGGCCCTAGTTGGTACTGCCCAAGGGCCTGGTTCGAAAAGGTTTGGGTTGGCTCAGTGGGCCGAAGGCCTTGGGCTTTTGTTAAAGGGCTTTGGGCTTGAAAGCAAGGCCCGAGTCCAAAACGTGGGTCGCCAAAGACTCATCGGAAACTGCAGAATTGCACCGAAAATTTGCAGGGTGATTTCAATCCAAAATTCATGAAATATAAATCAAGACTCAAGGAAAAACATCACTGCAAGGTTCAGGGACTTACGCAGCGTAGGTTTAGGAGAAATGAGGGTCGAATCCACCTTGGATTCGACGATTTCCTCAGAGACCATTTGCCGGATTCTGAAAACGAAGACCACAGAATATACAGAGGTTAGAAACCTCGGATTTCAGCTCAAAATTCACATGTAGAGCAAGAGAACAATACATGGGTTCCTTAAGGATTAATCTTAGTTCTAAACATACTCAAACTCAAGAGTTTGCACTTGGAGTTCGCCAAAAAAAAATGCACCAAGAGGAGTAGCATAATTCTCCTTCGCGCCGTAGCCTAGTGATTCACGCGGGAGAGATAAAGGAAGAGTGAGAGGGTTGTCGAGAGTGAGAGATAAAGGAAGAGTGAGAGAGAATAAAGAACTGTGAGAGCGAAGAGAGGTGAGAGACCGGGGGACCAAAATCAGGGGTGGGCCCCTTGGGCACACCATTTAACACCAAAAGCAATATTTTAAACAAATGAAACCCAACCAAAGTGAAAATACGAAAATACCCGTTCGTTCTGTAAATTTCAGGATGGGTTGTTACACTCCTCCCTATCTAACATTTTGGAATGATACTAACTTGGCATCAATTTTTTGAGACTTGGAAATCTGTCACCCAAACATAACCTAAAGTTTTTTCTCTTTGAAGAGGGAAAAATCGTTTTAACAATCCAATTGACTTAGTTTTCTATTGTTAATTAAATGCTCTTAGTTTTATATTTTTAATTAAAGGTTAAATTACCAAAATGGTCCCTGAGATTTGCATAACTCGTCACTTTGATCCCTAACATTTCAAATCAATCAAAGTGGTCCCTGAGATTGTCCACCATCCATCATTTTGGTCATTCCGTTAAAAACTCCGTTAAGTGTCCCGAAGCTCTTGGCCGGAAGTTTGGGCAATTTTCAAAGCTTCTTAACTCAATCGTTTCTTAACCAAATTCAATCCATAATATATCAAAATAAAGATAGGAAAGTTTAGAATAAGATTATATCTATTTGGAAGCCCAATGGTTGTCGGAGATGGCTGGAAAATAGCCTCAAAGTTGACTAGTCCGAGGGAAAACTGGAAAACTCGCCGGAAACTGGGTAAACTTTAAATGTTCATAACGTCTTCAATACTCAACGAAATCAAGTGATTCAAAAACAAAAATCATACTTTTCAATGAGAAGAAGAGAATGATACCTTTTTAGATGGCTAAATCTCCGTAGTTTGGCCGCAAAATGGCTCGAAAGTGGCTAACTCAAGACCAAGACAGCCACTTTCGAGCCATTTTCCGGCCAAGCCACAGTGAGTTAGCCATCTAAAAAGGTACCATTCTCTTTGTCTCATCAATACGTATGATTTTCATTTTTGAATTACTTGATTTCGTTGAGTATTGAAGAAGTTATGAACATTTAAAGTTTACCCAGTTTCTGGCGAGTTTTCAAGTTTTCCCTCGGACCAGTCAACTTTGAGGCTATTTTCCGGCCATCTCCGGCAACCATTAGGCTTCCAAATAGGTATAATCTTATTCTACACTTTCCTATCTTCTCTTTGATATATTATGGGTCGAATTTGGTTAAGAAACGATTGAGTTACGAAGCTTTGAAAATTGCCCAAACTTTTAGCCAAGAGCTCTGGGACACTTTACTGAGTTTTTGGAATGACCAAAATGATGGATGGTGGACAATCTCAGTGACCATTTTTATTTATTTGAAATGTTAGGGACCAAAGTGATGAGTTATGCAAATCTCATGGACTATTTTGGCTATTTAGCCTTAATTAAAAGCTCCTAAACAATTTGAAAAGGTCATCCATTTGATTAATACTTGCATTCCCACCACAGGAGCACCTGTTTGTGGCTTTCAAACACAAACACCCCAAAAAAAAAAAAAAAAATCTCTCCAGGCTCATCGTCGTCTGGGGAGTTTTCTTTTGGTTTCCAACAAACTGTACATATGGCTTCTTATTGTTTGATCACATAAGGGTGCAGTAGGCATGAACATTGTCGTCACTAAAGAGATGTACAGTATTATCAGCAACGGTTGAGTATAACTGGTCGGGGAAGTATCCGTGCACGCCTTCGTTATAGCCATGCATGTAGTAGTTGTAGGAAGACGAATATGTAGACTCGTCAAAGTATTGAGATGCGTACGGATAGTATTCGCTGTCGTATGGGAAGGGCCAAAATTCAGCCCTCCTCCCTGTTCTTCTCACAACCTTTAACACCTTCCTTTGATCTACATACCCCGTCACCGTCACCTTTTGTGTATCCATGTCTATTTCCAAGCTATCCACACCTGCATGCATATTATCATATGCATAATCCAAATATTGTAATTAATTTAGGGAAAATGCAAATTAAGGAGATTGGTGAGACAAAATGATGAATTAGAAAAAAGATCTTGCCCTCTATTTTTGAAATTGCTCTTCTTATCCTTTTTTCGCATCCTTCGCAATCCATATGCACCAAAAGTTCCACAATCTATTAGACAAATTAAAGAAACAAAAAATCATGAAATAAACAAAGTATATATTTAGACAATATGAGTTAGCCCCTTCCTAAAGGATCCTGATCCAGTTTTTATGGAGCAGCATAATTGGCAGTTTGACACCATATCGATTTGTATCGACAACATATCGAGACGTTACCGACAGCATATCAAAACCAATATCCTATATCAACACAATATCAACATAATATCAATAATATGCATGACATATTAACAAAATATCGAGTATCCCGCTCTGTGAATAGTAAAACGGGATCACCAGCTCTTTATGAAGTTTCTTCTCTGTGTGTGTGTGTGTGTGTTGGGGGGTTGGGGTGGGGGGGCGTTGGGGCTTAAAGACGAGCTGGGCAGCACTTACAGACATGGCCTTAGATAAGTGTTTAGACTTCCCATTTCGCCAACCAAACATAGCGCAGGTGGTGTTAATAAACGATGTTCTAGTACATTATATAACATTTTTTAGCAATATATATTGATTCTCTCTCTCTCTCTCTCTTTCTCTCTCTCTAAATTGGGCTCAACCGAGACTGAACGCAACTCAACTTGACCCTATTGCTACATGGCCAAGAAGATATCTGATAGGTTGCAGTATCTTTATCATTATCACAAGCCCTGACATTTCTAGCAAAAATTCTTGAAACGAAAAAAGAAAGTGCAAGAGAATATCGGAATGGCCAATATGTAAACGGTTGTCATTTGGAATATATACTCAGACTGATTCCTTCTTTTGGAATAAAATTATCTTACAAAATTGCGGACTATCTCTCTAATAGTACATGATCATTAGCATGTTGCGACAACCCGTCCCGGAATTTACGGAACGAAATGGTATTTTTGTAATTTCACTAAGTTTTGGGTTTTTATTTAAAAATTGTTTTTGGATATTAATTGGTGAGCCCAAGGGGGCCACCCCCTGATTTGTGTCCCTGGTTCCCCTCTTCCCCATGGACTCATCTCACTCTTTCTCTCCCTCACTTTCCCTTAACTCTCACTCTCTCTCCCATGCTTCCTCTCTCGGATTCCCTCTTCGCCAAGGACTAGTCCACACCCACATACACCACACCTCAATGGAGCACCCCAACACACTCACCACTACCACCACCATCATCTAGACCTTCATTTTCCCTCGTCCCTGTGAAGCACCATGACACCCACAGCACACCCAGGTTCGGCGAGCCCGTGGCTTGCGAGCCGAAATCCAACCACCTCCGGACACCCCACGACTAATCGAAGGTACTAGGTATTTTCCCCTCATCCTAAATTTCACTTTGGTATCTAGATCATAAGCTTTAGTGTTGTTTGGCCAATGACCGAAGCTCAGGATGCTCCGGCCTCCTTCCCCGGCGAGGAACAAAGAACTTAGGGCCTTTGGGCCTAAACCCCCGAGCCCAACCCTTGTGTAACCCAAAGAACCGGCCTTAGGGCTGAGTGGAACTTAGGCCTTAGGCCCGCTACCCCTAAAACCCAACCCAAAACCCAATTGAACTCAAGCCCTTAGGCCGTGTGAACCCAGGCCTTGGGCCAAGGAAACTGGCCCAGCCTCTTGGTCCAGCCTTTCGGCCTAAACCTACCAGCCTAAATCTGGTTGGAATATTCCAAGGAACATTCCTAGAATATTCTAATGTTGACTTTTTGTTGACTTTTTCGAAATTTACCCAGGACCCTTCTTAGGGTAATTCAACGTCCTAAATCCGTTTTTTATGTCCGTTTTCCAAAATTCAATCATTTGAATAGAGTTTTATTAATTGTACTCTTTATGTGCTTAGGTGCAATTATTACCAGTGATTACATCATTCCTATTTCGTACAACTCTACGGTGATGGAGTATCTATGAGTGGACTCCTTCTAAAATGTATGTTTTATTATTAGAAATGCATACATGAAAAGCATGATTTAATAATTACGTTTTATGAAACATTTTATGAGATATTGTGCTTACTTAGAATATTTTGGAATACCATACCTTATCAAACTCATGTTCTTTGTAGTATAGATGATGGATGACTTTATACTGCTTATGAACATGCTTTTACACACTTCTTTATAGAATAGATGATGGATGACTTTATACTATGAAGATGTTTTGAGATATATGAACTTATGTTGGAAAGATTATATTCAATGGTTTTGTGCGTATCTAGTGGTCATTGTTCTGCCTTCGGGCGATGATACTTATATTGACCTTCGGGTTAGGTGCTATAGGAGCCTACGGGCGTTCGATACTTGTGACAGAAGTGTTCTAAAGGAAGAGTTCTAAATGACTTCGAGCGATACTGATACCACTAGTTAGCACACTATATACGACATATGTTTTATGAAAGGTTTTATGGCATGCTAGGGTTTCGGAAAACCTATCACATATTATGCTATTAGTTTTCATAAAACTTTGGGGGTTAGTATGTTGATAACTGTTTCAGTATTATATGTGTATGTGTGTGTGTGTGCGTATATATATATCAACTTGGTCCACTCATGTTTGTTTTGCGCCCCCTCAGGACTTAGAATCGAGGCGTACCATCCCGACATCAAGGTACTTCCGCATCGGCATCTTCAAGTCCTCTCGGTGTAGGACCCATTCCTTTGTTCATTCAATTTTACATTATTTCTTTTTAGTGTTCTATAATTAGTTGTATGCTCTGAACACGTTTCTTATTGCATATTAATTATATTTAAATTCATAATTCTTATTTATTTCTTGTTCTCATGCATCCTAATATGGTTTCGTCACCTTCAGGTGTGGCCAGCACGTGCCTATCCTGGTGTTCAGCGAACATCGGGATCGGGCTTGTCACATGTTGTATTAGAGAGATATCGAGCAAATGTGGTTGAAATAGCAACACCCTTAATTATTTCCAAAAACGAGTGGCATTTTCGTTGTTATGATTTGTCCGAAAAAAATAAAGAATTGTTGCATGTGATTGCTAGGGTGAAAAAAGAGCTAAACCAAGAAAAGACCGACGGGAAAAATTCTTGCAGCATGTACGTTGTTCTCCTACGTTTAACAAAGATTGCATATGCTTTTAAGCAACGGTCGCAAATACTTGTCACATTTTGATATATACCTTTTTCCTTATTCTTTTTCTTCATTGCATGCATGTTGGTTGGTGTTCAAGTTGAGTTGAGGAGCTTAGTTGATGTGGGCGAGCCAGGAATATCATGTGTGGAAGAATAGGATCCCTCGGGTCCAGTACACGGTTGAGAAAATAGCTCGTTTGCTCTGATACCATAGAAAAAGTTGAGGTTCAACTATAAAAAACAATTGACAATATGGGAGTAGCCTAATTATAAGCACATGTACAGTCTCTCATTTTCCCAATATAGGATTGATGCTCTTAACATAATGGAATGTGTAGCTTTCACAATCATCTTATTGCATATCATGTTTCAGTATCATGCGTAGCTTTCAAATCGATAACTGATCATATCTATCATTGGCTGTAAACCAGTAACTTACCTTTCATATTCGTATCCCTCAATGCGACGGGTTCAAATATGCTGTCACCAAAATGCATCTCGTTCTAGAATGTGAGCGCATCGAACCTAAAGTCAATTCGCAACATGTGGAGAAGCTCAACTTCATTTATGTTTCCATTACTGTAAATTACACAATGAGATTACCGAAGAAAACAAAACCTAGCTAGAAAATTCGAGAGATAGAAGCAAAATGCAGAAGCTGCTGCTGCTCAAACTCTCATTCAGATCTCATCATTCATATGTAAGCCGCTACTTGCCTTAGATTTTGTAAAAGGGCTCGTATGTTTGTTTGGAGGGGGAAAGCTTGAACCCAATTCCTACATTAATGAATATAAGCGCAATTGAAATTTCTGGGGAGTCATGAATTTGTGTATTGATAAGACCATTTACTAATTCTTGAAGCTCGATCTCTCCCCCGGATGAACCATGTGTTAGGGTAAAATTGGCTATTCCTAAACAAAACATCTGAGTCTGTAATCTTAGACTCGTACATATTTTCCGTTGTAATTATTTTAGTCTAAGTTTGTCTCTTGGCTCTCTATCACAAAACTGGCAAGTGTTTCAGAGACATCCACTCAGGTATGTTTGCATGCATGCATCCAACTACATCTATATCACATGGTATTGTATTTGGGATAGGACTTTTACTCATTGTGTGTTTTATCTTTTTAGAATGACTTATCCCATCTATATTAATTATTAAATCATGTTTTCAAAAGACTTATCTGATTGCATCCAACTAAATGGATTGCATGGTTGTCATTGTTTTAAAAAGAAAAAGTTGTTGCCGTGTGTATCTAGGATTTGTGGTTTTAAAAGGATTGTCAATTTAGCTAAAACCGATGATTAGTTATGAAATTTTATCAGTTCAAATTGGTATCGTGCATTGAGGATTTATAAGGAAGCTTTGAAATTGTTTTAAGTGAGCCGCATATGCATGTTTTTTTTCTGTGAAGATAGATTGGCAGCAGCTTTGTGCTTTTAAAGAAAATAACATTATTTTCAGTGCATTAATCTCAAATTAATTTTTCAGTGGCTGCCATCTTGTGGTTTCAATAGCATGTGTTTTTAAAGAGAAAATATTATTTTCATGCTGATTTTCATTTGGTTTTTTATTGAATGTCAATTATGAAAATGTGCCTTGTGATTTTCATAATTGATTGATTTTTCAACCAAACACTTCATCATATAAACATTCTGCATGATCGCGTTAGTATCCTGCAAAGTTCGAGGCGACAGTGATTGACGGCTGCGTTAGTGTCGTGCCACTTTAACTCGAAGGCTGAAGAGAGATCTAGTAGCAAAGCGCGGAGACAAAACTGCCTACTAGTATGCGTGTCTAATTGATGAGTTTTGTAAGTCTTTCTGTACTTATTTCTCTTAGTGTTTGTCCTGGCTTGGGAGCCCGAGGATTTTTCCAGTGGTGGGTTTTGCCTCGTTAAATCCTACATCATGTGTGCACTTTTTATTTATTGTTTTAATTGCATATGAGTATGATAGTTTGATATGTGATGTGAATGTGGATTTAATTTGAGAACTGAAAATTAAATTGAAAATTGAATTGAATTTTTAAATTGGAACCTATTCACCCCTTCTAGGTTAAACTAGTACCCATCCTAGAACTTTCACCATGTCGCCAAGAGAAACCGTGAACCAGAATAGAAGAGCTGGGGGGTGTTTGTTAAGGGTTTCTACTGTGTTTGAATCTCAGAGAAAGCTTATTTGCATGAGATGGAAATACTTGGGATTTTAAATTCCAGTTGTAGCATTTGCAATGTGCAATTGCAGCAATATATTACACACACACACACACACACACTGGCTTTACTATCAGGTCAGCATTGAAATTCAAACTCGAGCAATGCTGGGTCCTTAAAACTTTGTAAACCGTGTTGGCAACTTGGGTTCTTGAAAAAATCCTGTGATTTGAAATTCTTAAACCGTTGGAAATTTGTGAAAACTGTGGTTCCATGAACTTGTCAAAAATGTGAAGCAATGGCCATTTTCATCAACTCCGTTATATATTCCATCCAAATTAAGCATGTGTGTGTCACATTAGACTGATCTAGTTGTGTCATCTGTTGCGAAACACCATGAGATTGAATCTGAAACGTTGCCCTGCCTTGGAGTTCTCTCAACCAACCTCTGGGCAAGCAAGACACAGCAGTGACATCATCTCTATCCACAACGGATACTTGAAAAAGAAAGATATATAATTTAACTCTGATCATGGTTGGATCAGTGCTGCTGAGTAGCCTATTTTGTTGTTACTCGCTTCTACTACGGAAAAGCAAAGGTGAGTCAACCTTATCAAGTCTCTGAAAAATTTTACGTACAAAGAGCTAGAAGACACACGGATACGGGGAAGAACTAGGCCGTGGTGCTTTTGCAACCGTTTTCAAAAGTTTTGGGGTCTGATAAGGGGAAATGTGTTGCTGTCAAAAGATTGGACATTATGTTAAAGAACTTGACTCGGATTCAAGGCTGAAATGGGCGCAAATAGTAGAACAGATCAGGAGTTGACAGTTTTCTAGTTTGCAAAAAAGGATTACTGAAAGATCATTTTTCTTTTGAGGCAATGAGGGAGCACTCAGCAATTCTTGTTGAACGAGTTAAAGGTGGGCAGAACAATGGTTCTCCTTAACAAAGAGCTTCCGACTTTGAAAAGAGTGTAGGCCAAACTGGTACCCAAAAAAGGAAATTGCATTCGGAATTTGCAAGAGGGCTCTTGTTTTTACACGAGTGCAGCAGCCAAATCATCCATTGCGACATTAGGCCTCAGAACATACTTCTAGATGACTTTTACACAGCAAGAATTTCCGACTTCAAATTGGCCAAGCTTTTGAAAATGGACCAGACTTAAACTACCACTGGAATCAGGGAACTCGAGGCTATGTTTCTTAAAACATGCCTATCACAGAAAAGTCGATGTTTCCAGCAATGGCAATGGCATTGTTGCTAAAGATTATATGCTGCAGGAAGAGCTTCGACAAGGAGGTCTGAAGATCAAATGGTTTTAGCAGATTGGGCATACAATTGCTAGGAGTAAAACAAACTGCATTTGGTGTTCCAGAATGACGATGAGGCATGGAAGACATCAAGAAGATGAAGTACGTTATGATCACAATGTGGCGGATTCAAGAGGATCCGCCACTGAGACCCACAACAAAGAAACTAACAATGATGCTCGAAGGATAATAAATTCAAAAAAACTCAAATCACCATTAAACACTTTGTTGTATAGATTCACAAACTAGATCAATCAAGCAAAAGATCGCACCTTGGTCGAACCAACAAAAGCAGGAATAATCCAGAAAATTAATTCAGCTTGAATAACAATTAGTCAATTAAGCAAGCAACTTAACAAACACATGGAGTGCATAATTCAAACCGAACTTTGATTAACCATAAATCTCCCAAGATCTCAACTTTACATATCAATTTCCAAAACCCATTACAAATCATAAAAACCCCACTACATTCTGCTGAAATTCAAAACCCTAAGATATGGGGATTTCTTAAGCCCTCTCACCCCTAATCCTACGAGCAAGCTGGATGTCCTTGGGCATAATGGTGACCCTCTTGGCATGAATGGCACACAGATTGGTGTCCTCAAACAGCCCCACCAAGTACGCCTCCGCCGCCTCCTGGAGCGCCGACACGGCGCTGCTCTGGAACCTCAAATCGGTCTTGAAGTCCTGTGCGATCTCCCTCACCAGCCTCTGGAACGGCAGCTTGCGGATCAGGAGCTCAGTGCTCTTCTGGTACTTCCTGATCTCCCTCAGGGCCACGGTTCCCGGCCTGAAGCGGTGAGGCTTTTTCACTCCTCCGGTCGCCGGAGCAGATTTCCGAGCAGCCTTAGTTGCCAGCTGCTTCCTTGGTGCCTTTCCTCCGGTGGACTGGTGGCCTGAGCTCAGTGCCTGCTTGGTAAACGAGTCCATGGTCTTCGGGAAGAGATGAATAAGGATGGAAAGGGGATTGCATGACCAGGGGCTTTAGAAGCTTTCTGCTTCTCGGGAAAAGGTTGATTGAGACTTTTGATGGCTTTAGAGTTGGATGTGATACTAGGGTATACTCTGGCTAGGGAGCTTCCTCTCGACAGTGGCGAATAATTATTTCTAACCCCTGGTCTTGCACGATCTGTCACGTCCTGCTTGCCATGCGCGCAGCGGCCAGGAGAAGATTTCAGTAGAACGTGTTCTGTTGCTATATTCGTGTTGAAAATTTTGACGCGAAGGAGGTTGGAGCGCGCGGGAGAGTATGAGCCAGAGGTTCGATTATCTTCTAGAAAGCTCCATCGAGACTGCTGATAATGTGGTGTAACGGTTGCTTCGTCCTTCTCGCTAGCTCCACGTGGTTCCCCCACGCCTCAATCATGCATATCTCAGATGTCCTAATTAGCGCAAAAAACGAGATTTAGTAAGTATATATACAACTTATTAAAAATTATAAATTGTGGTGTCGAAGTTGGGTGCGTGGTGTCGACGTTGCAAACAATGGGAGCAAGTAGAGTGATTTTTTTGTGAAGAATCCATCTATGGTCTAAGACACCATTGATTAAAAGGCTAACTATATAAAGTGGGAAATGAGATTTATATTATGGATGTATAAAAAATAAAAAAAAAATAATAAAAGGTTTGATCTTTGGTGCATTGGAAAAAATGGGTGCACCATAATAAAGAAAAATATATATATATTATAGATTAATAAATGAGAGTTTGAATGTCAATCTATGCGTACCCACATCTGAGTTCATAAACAATAAAAAAATATTTTGTATAATTAATAATTAAAAATATTACTTAACTGTCAATAAAGTGAAAAATTAAAAATACTTTTTTGGCCGACACTGGAGTTATTTGATTTTCTCTTTCGAAATGAAGGGTTATATATTACACTAATCCACCCTATTATCTAATAACGAGGCAATATGGTAAGTGAAAATACTCGCTCATATTACTATACGTTTTTCTTTTGGTAGAATGATGTACAGACACACTGCCATAGACAATGTCTCATATAAACATACAAGTAGAAATAAACAAAATAGTTAAAACTGAACGTATAGAAACATATAACGAATAACAAATCCACCAAACAGGAGGGTGAATTAAGCACATCACAGCAATGGCGGGCGATTCCTTGTGCCTCGTGTGATAGCCTCACCACTCGGTGAATGCTCAGGAAGAAGAGGCGCAGATGGACTGTGACTCGTGTGTTGGCCAACGCATGCCTGTTCGCTCGCATCCTGGCAATAGCCACCCTAGGATGGAAGGATTGGACGGCCACGCGGTGGAGAGACAGGTCTAACATATAGTATACAATATATAGGAAAGGCATATACATAACATTACGCCGCAGAACCAAAAGAAAAGTATCATACCCATACATCGACTCCAGATGGCAACGGAATAGAGCTCAGTAAATACTCTCTTTGAGAAAACGAAGAACTACATCCCCCAAGCAAGTTACTCCCTCTTCTTGCAATGACAACAAGAATGAACTCTCTGATTAAGCACTCATCCTCGAGCATCAACTCTTCTTGAGCGCATATCTCGTCTGGACTTCACATTGCTCTCACATCTTCGATGTTCTTCTTTCTTGTAATGCAGCTAGACTATGTGCAAGCATGGCACTGTTTTATTCTCATGCTTAGCCCCCTAATCTCCCTGTTGAAGACTCATCACTTCAGGCCGCCAAGGATTCAACTTGCGGGTTTCGAGGATCAAATGTAGCAAGTATTGAGAGTCCAATTGTTTAGGGACATTAAGAGAGCATGGCCCACCTGACCTTTCTCCTCACTAGAGAGCAGAGAACTTCCTTATAAGCAGTTGGGCAAGCTACTTTCCGCATCGAAGCACAGCTCTCGGGAAAGTAGTCTTGCTCTCTTCGTTCCTAGGAATGAATAAGTGACAAGGTTCTCATGGTCCCAACCTTACCGCATATAACAGTCATATCTTCTTCATCATCGAATCCCCAACGGTAAGAGGACCAGTATGGGTGAATATAGTATGGTGATTATATATATATATGAAGTTATTGGTTAATAAGGGTCTTGCGCCATATTGGATAGTGTACATTAATAAGAAAATGATATGTTGCAACCAGAATTGCCTGGGAGGCACCAGCTATACCTCTTTGCACTTACATTAAGTTTCTTCGAGAGTCAATATTTCAACGACAACGGAGGATCGGAGGGTCACGATCGAATGAGCTCTCATTCTCTATCAGAAAGCGTGCTCGTTGAAAGGAAAGAAGAGAGGTGCGCAGCATCCAAATAATATCACTGCAATTCTTAGAAGTGCAAGAAAGAATGTTCTGGCAAGCGCGCAAATCTCAGAAGTGAATGTGGGGACATTGAAACGAAGTTGCTCGCTTGCCTGCCATAATAATGGTAAGGACTCATGCACTGTCGAGACCGAGATTTTTTTCCATGATTACAGACCGCTGCAAGGTGTACCGTTCTTTAAACGGACAGCCTGACGTCCGGGTAGATGAGAGCTTCGCCGATAGGCGAAATTCATAAATTCCTCGCCAATGTGCGTTCCGAGTGCATAAGGTCTCAGGCAGAGTCTCTGCGGATGATTAAGCCGATCCTTTTGGGCATATGTCCTAGGGAACGCCACATTGCCACTCATTGGTATCGCCACTCATAATTGACAGCAAAACGCCGCTGGCGTGCGGGGATAAATTGCATTCTTCAAACGTGTGGTGGCGGCAGATGATCCGAGGTCGGCTGTCGACAGCATGCGCGCTCCATCCCATATGGATTCCGTAAAGCATCTTGAGAGCAACTCCACCCATGCTGGATTGCTCGGGGGGAGCATTGCCGAGTCCTTAGTTCAGAGCAAGATCATGCGGCCTGACGGCACCCGTGCACACCTCGAGACTAGTCAGGTTCTCTAGCCGGGGCCATCGAGGAGAGGGCTAATCCTTGAGTCGAAGGCTGAAGCCGCTGGATCCGAAAGCAATCAGATAGTGGCGACCAGAGGCGCCTAAGTGCATCCATCTCGTACGCCTGCACGCCCGTCAGGGGCCTAGCATATATTATTCTTCTTTGTGATCAGGCGCATGCACAGCATGCGGGCCTTGTTGGACAGAAACATTCCACTTGCCAATATTTGTTTCGTTATTTATTTTATTTTGATAAAGTGAATGATAGTACTGTTAGCCAAACTAAACCTAGATCTAATTCACACCGCATCTCCTTGGGTTCTTGCCTAGACCGACGTGAAATAGCGGGGAGATGAGTACAGCCTTGTGCACTGTCGAGCAACGTGACCTTTATTTATTGAATTTCCTATATATTAACTTATTTGAGATATCCACAACACCTATCAACAACCTAACCATAAGCTAAAGTAGTCATATCTCATATATACCACTATTATTGACCCGTATCGGTTTCGCATCTCGCGCGAGACTCTAATTCTTGTGGTCGTGAGATGCCAAGGAAGAATGCGGTAACTTCCCAACGTATACGTTCATTTAAAGTCTCTGTGGGAGTATCATTCTCCCTAATGTTCTATATTCAAAGGCATATTTCGCTTTGACTGTTCAAATAGGTGGATTCAATAGGTTGATATGCCTCTGTCAAGGAGCGAGAATGTGCTACAAACCAAGAGTGGACAGAATTGACTAGTACTCGATGATAGTCAGATGCCAGCCTTCGACTCTTGTATCTCCAGGTGTAAGAATAAGATACGATAAGAAAGTGCACATATACTGCATATATTGTTTTTCCTGTCCTTTCCTTGGTCTTGTTCTTACCTACAAGACAAGGATTAAAAACACAGATTTAAAGTTCTCCCTGGAATGCCACTCCACTTTCACATTACAGCGATCGAATTAGCGGCGAGTCTGCCACATTTGCCTGGAGAACAGATAAGCAAGGTGAAAAAATGAACCTTCTGAATTATTTTTTCGGTGAAAGAAGTCCTTAAATTTATTAAAAATTGCCAATTTCATTCCTACTATTATATTCAAAGTTATTTTATCCAATTTTTTGTCAATTTAAGTCACTTGACACATTTTTTAATGTAATACCGTCATTTTCTCGCTTATAAGTTCTTAACATTTCATGTAGGTTGCGAATCTACTTACCCTCCAAAGTTAATTCTATACACTATTTCTTTATGAAAAATTATCAATCTACCCTCCAATGTATACATGCAAGTAAGTGACTTAAAAATGACGGAAAAATTGAATATGTGAAGCATATTTTGTGGAGTCAGAAAACGTATAAATGATTAATGGGATAAAAACAAGTATGTGAGCAAAGTTATATTTAGCAGTATTCAAACAGATGTGGACTGATTTTTTTTCTAAAAAAGCAGAAAAGGAGGTGTTTACCGAAAGCCTCGTGAAAAGAATATATCTTCCACATTGCAAAGCTACGTACATCTGCCTGGAAGAAACAAGCAGAGAAGGATGCAACATTGCACAGTCAAACTCAGCAGAAGGAAGTTTAGTAGTCTGAATTCAAAGAAATACTATTCAGAGCGTGTGCAGTATTCACAACTGGTAGTTCGTTCTATGACTAGAGGATAGTAAGACGAGGGGAGGAAAGTAGTATTGGAAAAGCGAGTTAGAAGACAGTCTGGAGACAATATGGAGCATTCATTAGACAGGAAATGAAGGAGCGGGTGCTTTGTGTGATCCGGTGCTCTTCTTCTCGCAATATCTCAATGATGTATCCCTACACATCATCTCCAGGTTTAATAGACTACTACTATTTATCGAAGACTTTCTCGTTCTTGACCTCTCACAATTTACAAGGTGAAATTATGTGCATACGAGAATTTTTCGCTCATATGTCTTTTAGCTGTCATTTGGTTTGCAATACTAATATGCTCTCTCACGTTTATCTCATCCACCTCTTTTATAGAGAGTACTCACACTTGTATTCTCTCTCAAAGATCAAGGTATACTTACTAACTGAGTATTTATTAAGAGAAAAAGTATGTACCCATACATAACTCATGTAAAGATCATAACCGGATATACTCAGAATAAATAGCCAGTTTGAATTAAAAGAAATATTGAATATAAGTTTTTTACGCAACTAATGCAAACTCGGTTGTTATACCTATACAACCTTATACATAGCACGTGAAAAATAGACAGTGTGTGACAATACGATAGTTCGAGTACAACCTTTACTTGATGCGATCACCAAAGCAAAAATAAACTCAAAAACAGAAGAGCACATGCATAGAATAAGAAGTTTCCGGCCAAATTCAGATCAAGTCTAGCGAGCGGTCCTTAAGGAAATCACAAGTCCGATTCAAGATCAAGTGTCTACCACTTTCTTGAATTAAAACTAGTTCAAGAATAAGAAAATAATATAACGAACGACGAGGAAAGTCCTGATTTCGGGTGCAGTATTTAGAGTTCGGGTCTCATCAACAATATATGAAGAGGACAAACAAGATGAATCCATCAATCCCAGCCATATATACGAAGCATCTCGTAAAGCGAGTTCCGGGACGTAGACAGTTAAAGCAAGCTCTCGATGCCAACAAAACATAAATTACGTGAAAATTTTGCAGATATCATCAAATACCCTGCAATCTCCACCTTCATGGGACCTACCTTAAAAGAGCCCCACACACATGCCAGGTATATTTAATTCGAGTTCTAGCGAGACCCATCAGATAAACACGCTCTGCTGGTTCAACAATTTATATCTCTATACAACTCTTTTCCTCATAGAATCATCGACTTTTTGGCGAGAAGTCGGCTGCTTGGTTTCGCAAGGGAGAAATAGTGTTTCAAGATGCACAGAAAAAAGTATGTAAAGAAGACGACGCTTCTCCATTTCCAGGTTTCACCCTATTTGATATCAGCACAATTCAATCTACAAATCCAAATTATACCTCCATTAGGTAACATGATCCCTCTTCGAGACGGCCCATTGAAGAAATCTCCAAGTTCCCAATTAGCAAGAAGTCAGCAGCTTTCGATATCTTGTTCCTCGCATTATGGGTATTTTTTCACAATCGTGCGTATTGATCACTTGTTGGACTTATCGGTAATAACGTCTAATTGTGCTCATCACTTGTTGTGACAAGCACATGTTTATGAAACACATCAAGTCTGTCGGTATGATTTGAGGTGGGGGTTTTCCAAATTTAGAGGAATCTATTGTTGTAGAGACTAATGCTCTCTCCGCATTTTTTTCTTATCAGAAGTTAAATCTCTAAATGTGTGTCTTTGATTGGATTCTGTTATAATGTCAGGATTTGTTTTTTTTTACTACATAAATCAATTTTCAACCTCTCAGTGATATGAGATTTACACGTTTTAGCCGTGTTGTGAGTCTCATGTAGACTGAACATAATTCCGTAATCAATTTGACTTGTGGAAAAGTCATCTATAATGGGTAGGTATAGACCTTGCTGTGGAATACTTGAATGCTATCAACGCACATCCTTGCGCAGTGACAAATCTATAAGTTCAGACTCTAGACTAGTCTTCTATTAGTTGACAAATCATTAAGGATCACATTGCGAGAACCACATTTAGTTTTATAAGGATTTATATTTCTTTTTTGAACTTATGGTGGACTAAATGTATACTGCTATCAATTTATTGGAAGTGAATGAGTGACCTCCTATGTTATCATTAGTTTTTTAGAACACCTTGGTTGTTTGTGATAAGCTCATAGGTAAAACATTACCTGACAGCTTAGCTCTCTTCTAATAGTCATTCCAGAGATTGTCCCCGAATAGCTGCACGCATGCTGCCATTCGTGTGTACTGTCGCTCTTCTCTACGGATGCTTCAGTTACTCGTATTTCTAAGAATTCTGCTCATAAGCCTTCTTCCGTACCGCATCGCACCTTGGCAGTAACAAGTTGCTTCCGGCTCTCAACCGATTACCACATTCGTTGTCTATACTCTTCAGATCAAGCCCCGACTGTGCAACACTCATGAAATCTCAATCTAGTAACATATCACTACACACACCATACTTAAGAGATGCTACACGTCTGTACCACTCATACCACCGCCCTCTGTCTTTCGTGGTAACTCCCTATACAGTGGAGAAGTCGGAAATTCAGTCATAACAGCCCTCCAACCGAAAATTCATGGATCCATAGGTAAGTGTTAGTCTCTCAGTATAGTTTCCTCTGATTAGAAATATATTTCAAGCAATTACAGAGTGCAAAGCCGGCATTTGTGTGGCCCTTGAATGAATATAGTATGAGAGTGGTTTGACCTGTCGTGTCATTATACTATCTATGCATTACAGTGCCGGATGCAGGATTCGATTCCGTCAGATCGTTTCTAGGTGAAGAGTACAGCCCAACTCCGAAGTCCATTCGCGCAACATAGCTATCTACGATATCTCAATCTAGGGCGGCGTTTATACCAAGGAACAACATAGCTGAGTCAAATCGATCCTTCCGCTCGCGAAGGATTTAAGCCTTAAAAGCCCCTTGAAGTTGACACTCATGTTCCATAAAGTCTAAATATACAAAATACAAGTCTGTGTTTTGTTATTTTTTTGGTTGTTGTCAATTATATCCTATTGTTCTCCCTAATTATCTATTACACAACTTAGTATGTATATTACCTTATTGGTTCCTCTCTGATCCAGTGAGTTACATTTCAGTCATGCCAGGCTTTTGAGTGACAGGTGCCACTCATGCCTATCGTGAAGGAGAAATTGCCACTGAACTGACTGGCGAATATACCCGAAAAGAAGAACTTGTTTGATAATGAAGGACCATTACTCGGGTTCCGTTGTGAAAATATACACGTTCGCAAATACCTTATCGCTTACAGCCACATAAGGTAGGTGCCAACCCCCCAGTTGTGTGCAAATCCAAGATTGCATCAGAGGAGGTAAACTCGCTCCTTCATTATTAACTTGTACCATTTGTCAAAATGCAACTATTATAGCATATGTTCATGCGTTATCTGATTGACTATAAGGATTGGAATATGAAATTTATTTCCCGACTCCGATGATCTTTGTGATCTTTTGACTAAAATGAGTGCTAGTCAGCCTAGCCTTGAGATAGATATGGAGAAATGTAGAGTTGAAGGAGGGACTGCAATGTTAACAGGGTCTCATCTGCTTCGGTTAAAGACTCTCTTATCGACTGATTGCTTTCTATAAACGGCTCGACCATTGATGGTGAAATCTAATCAGAGATAGGATCTCTGCGACTACCCATCAACTACTATCTCCTTCCTTTCTTCATAACGCAGAGAATTGCGAAATAGCAGGTTGAGGAATCGAGAATTGCATGAGTGAGTACGTATTGGTGTTAGGATATACCTCAATATTCAATACATACCAATATTGTAATGCATTACACTTATCACATCTATATGCCAGTGACCCTTAGTGTATGTCTGGTCACCGTTTCTCCACACGCCTCCTCAGATGGTGGGAAATGATTATAGATCGATAGCGACTCATACAACTAGAAAAAGCTTATAGTTGGGCTACATAGCACATTTCGTGTAAAATTTAGAAGAAAATCCAATACAACTAAACAATCATTTAATTTAGATACGAGTTTAAGAAGTTAAATTGATAATTCTATGTTCTAATTCTACCGATTTCTTCCTCCTCCTCCTCCTCCTCCTCCTCCTCCTCCTCCTAGTTTCTTCTCATTTGAATACCCAAAAGCTAAAAGTTAAAGCTTTTTAAGACTAGAGATGGAAAGAAAAAAAAAAAGCAGAGAGAGATAGAAAGGCAAAAACACGTGTGAAGTGAATGATCTAAGGCTCAGCTTTTCAATCGCAACTCTCTGTCGGAGCTGACTTGGATGGAGATTGGTTACAGGTGGGTTTAGGAAAACAACATATAAGGATTCAGTGATTAAGGGTATAGTAGTACTTTTATATTAACTTTTGGTTATAGTTATCATAAAATTAAAATCATGGCTATAATTCTATATGAGGTACAAATTTTGGTTATATTTCCAAATTTCCCACCCAAGTTGCACCCCTATCATTTAATCATCTATTTTCATGAGGATCAAACAGTTCATTATCTCTACTAATTAATAAAACCCTCTTTGTCAACCAAAAGAGGATAAAAGATAAACTCGTCTTCTATCACACAAAAAATATGATGGCAATGATGTAATTTCACAGGTCCAAATTTTACTATTTTTTATTGAAGCCTCACCTACATGTGATGTTAAAATACTTCCAATATTAAAAAAAACAAAAAAACAAAAAAAAAACTCCCCCCGCCCCCCAGTTCTCCCTCTCCCTCTCCCTCTCTTCTTCTGATTTTCTAAAAAAATGTGTTCATACACACAAAGTGTGTAGACAAATGCTAGTATGGGTTAAAATAAGGGATGGGTTAAAATAAGAGAACTTTAACGAAAAACTCCCGGTACTGTTCATTTTAACGAAAAATCAAATTTTTACACTAAAAATAAATGATACGATCATTCGCTGTTAAATGTAATACTGATGATGAAGAATAAATGAATATGTTTTATGAGAATTAACCGCGCACATGCGGTTGCAAACATGTGGTTGCAACGAAGTGTGGCTTTCTGTCTCTCCCTTGGGAGGGACATGACATAATGAAATAGCAGTGATTGCGAAGGGCCAATTGTAGTAACCAAGTCACCATTGGCAAAGGAAATGGGAAGCAGAAAAAGACAGAAACGCTGACGCCAGATGAGACGTGTGTTGATTAAACTGTTTTTATTTCAGCGCCATCACATGATCCCATCTGCATCGGGTCGACCCAGCTCTGACACGCGACTACAGGTATAATTGGTGCATAAATGCATATGCATTCATTCACATAAATGCATAAGCTCTCTTGTTGTTTTTCCTCTTCCCCTCCTCTCCTCTGTTTTCATGAAAGCAAAATAAAAGCAAATCATTCTGAGCTTAACTTTACAGGTTGGGCCTCGTTTGGCACATGCCATAATAGTACTATTTAATACGAATCCGGAGGTTCGATCCCACATCTTAAAAACCTCCCCATTTTACTCTAATTCTCTCTTATTAGTATCATAAACGTATATATATATATATGTTGTTAATTCCTCTCCCAAAAACTAGCATTTTGATTGTCTCTTTGTTTTCTGTTTGGTTTGTCATTACGTTTGCAGAAACAGAGGTGGCAGAGGGGGAGGTGAGGACGAGCTAATAATAATTTAGAATAATTGATAAAAGAAGAGGATGGAACTTCTGCAGCTGTTCGTGACGGCCTCAATTCCGGTGTTGAAAGTGCTTTTGATAACAGCACTTGGCTCTTATCTTGCTCTTGATCGTGTCGATATTTTGGGGGAAGTTACTAGAAAGAACTTAAACACTGTAAGTTAATAACACTACACCGCTTCTTCATTCAATCAATTTATTTCTCGTGTTGGACTGTTTTCTTACTGGTATTTGTGTTTTGTGAACCAACGAACGAACGAACAGGTTGTATTTTATGTGTTCAGTCCTGCTCTCGTGGGTTCCAACCTTGCGAAGACAATTACATATGAAAGCATGGTTAAAATGTGAGTTGTAATTACTTTGTTCGATCTACATATATACATACATGTATATATAATCATGTGAATG